CTTCTGCAGTGGTCGCTCCACAGTGCGACCAGTCTAGCTGATTTTAATCCAATCAAACAATACCCGGTGAGAACTCTATTTGCCTTGCGAACTTCCTGTCCCTTTAGATTAAGTAGAGACTTAGTACCTCGTTAAGCGATCGGCTACTCTTGAAATCAACGACATTTCTCCCAGTGCACTGCAGTGATTTAATATCCGCCGCAAATGCAAATACCATGACTAGAAACCGTATCAAATTGTAGTCGGTTGTAGGAAACCCAGTAATGTTGTTCAAGATTTTGCAGTGAGCGATATGTGGATGAGTCGCTTTCTCGGTAGCGTTGAGCCTAATGGCAGTGTTACAGCCATGTTAGTAACGTGTTGGGCACTTTGGCGGCTGTTGTTTTTATGGCTCCTGTTATAAGTAGAGAAGCCAGCCGTTCAAACTTCTTCGTTTTCTTAGCATTTACCCTTTTCGTAAGAAAATAATCCCAATTTCCACCGCAATGTAGATTCATGCTACGATCTGGCGCACCAGACTCCGATTTTTGCCGATAGCCCTGGTGGCTTTGCAAACCCTTTCATTGATGTTAGGTCCACAATTTAATTTTCTTTCTCCAATTCAACGTACATATTTAACTTAAGGGTTATCTGTAAATTAGCACCATTTCAATAATACTTATTTCCTGTTCAGATTTTCTGTAATTTGCCCTAAAACACGGCTGCTTCGGTGCTACTAACTAGGAACGCAAGGTGGAGACAGTAGAAGCTCCCGCCATCCTTCTTCAACGCCACCAGGCTATTGACATTTAAACCATATGCTTTGTATCGATCAAACGAATGTAACGCCCCTCCAACTGCTTGTCTGGTCCATAAGTTCTTGCCAGTTTTCAGACTGATGGAAAGTCTGAGCTCTGGAATTGGTACCGGTTTAATGACAGTGACTTCCGAAGAATAGGTAGGAACCAGGGCATGCGATGAACTGATTGCTTGCCTGGTTCCTATAGTTGCTCAGGTTAAGACTTTGTGATGTTTGGGCAGCTGCAGGCGTTGATGGGATACCCTGACGAAAGATTTTGAAACTAAGTGCTTATTTTGGCCTTCCTCTTCTTATTTTCTATACTTCCATAGGCCAGCTTAGCACTCATCACAATATCATTGAGCGCTTACGTTTGTGCACCCATAGAAAACTGACTAATGTTAGGGATCTCTTCTCTGACCCTGGTAGCGAGATTGAGAAACTGGTTGGGCACTGAAGCGGTTAGGTTTGCAGTGACACAAAAAAAAAATTACGTGATTCAAGTTCCTACCGGGTGCATTGATAATCTCAAAACTGAAAGTTAAAGGCCAAAAATAAAGCCGCTTTAAAAGTTTATCGAGTGATATACGAGGATGTTCATACACACATATTTGTATCACCACAAGTGTGCATAAAGATACATACTTACATATGTACATACTGATTTTGTTATTGAGGTAAATGCTTATTTTCGTGAAGTGTGCGTGTTATTGCTTGTACAAAATATGTCAATTTTCGGGGTATCAGCTTGGGTTAAACTGACATGTCAATTGACGTGTGACATAATGTTTTCTGAAAGTCACTGATAATTGCCATAAATGCTCATTACCGGTTGTTAAAGTATTTCGTATGCAGAGACTAAACTGAAGAATGAGAAAATTTGTTGACGCTTTATAAATTGAGTAATTGTGTACTAATATATGTATGTGCACATATTAAGAGTGTATTATCCAGTACGCTCGGTATTAATGTACGCTTATTTGTAACCAATTAGCGTAACCCAGAGGGAAAGAAATATTTAGAGGAATTTAATAAACATAAAAGCTTCTTTCATATTTCAAATCTAGTTAGTAATTAAAATTTTATTACCATTAAGTACTTAGTAAAACATATTTTGACAACGCGTTCGTTTGCGTTGGAAACGTGAAAAGCAAACCTGTCGTCCTTATTATGAAGTTGGTGCTGGCAGTTATGGTTCATAAGTAAATAGCAAGTTTAAAGCACGCTTCGCTGTCTAAATGACAAGATAGATGGGTAGATGTAAATACATACATATAATTAACAAAAATGGCGTGATTACATCTGTCGCCCGAACTAATCCTGAAATTCTCCCGACCTAGACGGGAAATAGTGCAGAAAAAGTCCGAAATTAGTTTTAAACTGGTCCCACACTTGTCTGGAAGTGATCTCGAAAAAATCCCCAAACAATCATAAACCGATCCCGAACTAGCCCCGAAATGATCCTGATCTAGACCCGATAAAGTCCTTAACTAGTGCTGAACTAGCTCCTAGTCAGCACTAGGCTGAAATGATCCGGAAAAAATGGCGAAAGAGTCTCGAAATTATACCGAAAAAGTCGCCACTAATCCCGAAATGGACCCAAAGAAGTCCCGAACTATTGCAACGAGATTTGTATTCATTTGTCCTACTTCTGAATTCGTATTTTGCCTACCATGCCTTGAAATTTCCCAGTTCCTCATATTTATGGCGTTTTCCTTTCCCGAAAAAAAAATGTCCCTTCTTATATGGCAGCATTATCAGAGTGCAACATTTTAAAGAAAGGGCACGCAATATGCATGTGAAAATGCTGAGAAAAGAACACGAAAACTTGACAGCCCTGAGGCAGGGCAGTATAAATGCAACATTATTTTGAGAAAAGCAAACGCTATTATTAAGAACTTGCTTCCAGAGACAGAGGATGCTATGTCAAAAGAGTCGGCACTACATATCGTCACCTAAGGATGAAAAGGTGCCAAGTCCATTTTTTGAAATTGTTCAGCAGAGACGAAAAATCGATGTACATAGTTTCGTATTACATCAAAAACTAAATTTTGGAAAAACTGGACTTGGCACCTTTTCACGACATGGCATCTTCACTCGCCACAGTTCTGGCAATAAAACTTTTGTAGATGGAATATGCGATTCTCACACTATCTTCCCTTCTGTCGAGCGAGGGGGATGTGTAAACATCATATTATTTTACAAACCCTGTCTCCATAAAGGAACTAACAGGCTACTTGTGTGCACCCAGCTTAATGGTTTCTTCTTTTTTTAAGAGCATCTACCAGCCAAGTTCTTTGAGTCTAGGTATCAATACCACTGCAATATTCTTTGAACGAAGCCCCTAATTAGCTTCTTAAACACCGAAGAACTAATTAGCTTCTTAAGCACCTTTTATGTACAGAGCTAGTATTCTCAGTCCACCTCAGCAAATGATTTGATGGTCCGGTTTACAAGTTTTCGCAAATCACTCCGCGGCTTCTTAAGCTGCTTATTCTATAAGCGATCGGGAGTTCGCCTAATAGGTGGACGAGACGGACAAGTCTCATATAAACCTGCACTAAGAGCAGCTGTTACATTAACCACCGTCTTATCTATGCCATGCGTGGATCGGCTTTTAGGTGGCACAACAAGCGAGTTTGAAAGTTCCTCCCTAAAACATTGTCATTCGGTTTTCTTTAATTTCATACTTCGATTAGTGAAGTGCCTTTTTTTAGATCCAAGAGGAGGCAATTAAAACGACTTCACTCTTTTGGATTGTGGCAGGACGATCAGAGCTCCCGTGTTTCCTGAAAAGGCCTGACAGGGTGGTAGCAAAAATCTTTCTGAGACAAAGAAGGAGTGAGTTCTGATAAGATTGATTACGGGGCATAATCCATGTGAGGAGATACATAATCTTTCCTTAATTGCTAAGATTCGTAAAGGAGTCTGGTCAGCTTGCAGAGGAACAATAAATTCCCACCACACCTCTAAATCCTTTATCTAGGCCTTAAGTACAAAGGGCAATGGTGCATGGGTGCTTGGAAAAATTATTTTTTGTTGATTTTTTCGGCCACCCACAATTCCTTTATACTCCACCCTCGACTTTCGCTCTAAAGCAGGAATTTGGTTTTAGTACGAGTTCCTTTAACCAAAATAATATAAACCAGATTGCCATTTCTTCTAACAATCTTTCCAATTTTTTAGGTGAAAGGTTATTTATCTGGATCTGAAATTATGACTGCCTTAAAAATCCAAACAACTTTCTTCAAAACAAAAAATATTTTACCAGCTTTTCAATACTTTATTTTTCAAGCATTTAAATTTCTTAGGCCAATGGCTTACATTCGTATAGAATTTAATTCTGCACATAAAAGTCAACTCAAAGTGCCCAACGATTTGATAAAATTATAGCAAAAGTTTGCAAAACGACATTAAATGCAGAAATCGCCCCAGGATATTGGCCAAAGTGACATGCTAAAACGAAATATATGTACATACTTATGTGCATATATATATAACGTATATTTATACGTTTTTACATAGCTAAGTGTTAGCGTTTGCTACTTTAATACGAGTACCTCATTTATAAATATATTTAAGTGCTATACTAAAATTTTTTACTTTTCAGAAGTGTACAGCAGGTTCTAAAATTTTAATATCATTAAGCAAAAAATGTTGCTTTTCCCAGTTTAGTAATATTTGGTTATATTATAGAACGTTACATAAACATATTTGGAATCCAGAAACACCTAAAATCCAAACTTTTTTTAATTCTGTATAGTTAAATATGTATTATGGTGGTGCTTAAAATATCAACATCAAAATTTTGTATGGGTCATCCTGGCTGGCAGAAAATGCACCGGCTATTGAAGGGTGGAAGGGACCCGAGCTATGCACTAAAAGGGGGGAGGACATCCCGCCGGTGCACACGATCTCGGTGTTCTTCCCTAGATGCGCCGAGAAATCGGCTGAGTACGTGCTGGGGCTTATTCAGGCCCAGAACGAGGGTGTCCACACGGCTGCGTGGAAGGTGGTGTCGTGCGACGCTGAGGACAACGGGCTCAGGCTCAACCTGGGCATCGACGAGACGTCGTACGTCAGCATAAAGAGGGCCGGATTCCACATAAATTTCCGGTACAGCTACGTCTCGGTGAGGCCATGGCGACAAAAGACGACAGGCAGCAAGGAGTCAGAGTCGCAAGACATGTGTGTTGATGCGGCAACTGACTCCACTGCGGCCCCAGCGACAGAGTTGACCACGGCCCCACCAGCCAACCCGCTGTCAGAACAGGCACTGGCACCAGCCAACCAGACAACAGATCCTGTACAGGTACCAGCTCCGGTGAGTCCCGGCCAAAAGGCCTCGACTACGTGCGCACCACACAGGAGCTCCTAGCTGACATTGGCAGGCTCGAACTCGATAGAGGAAGCGAGGGCGACGCGCGGCTCTCGGATATCGAGGACGAGCCCCAATTATGAAGACACCAGCAGTAGAGGTAGCCCAGGTCAATCTGCATCACGCGGTGGCCGCCTCGGCGGTCATTGCGAGCAGGTTTGCCACGGAAGACCTGGGCATACTGCTAATACAGGAACCGTGGACCTACAGAGGCCAGGTGAAGGGCCTTAACCACAACAACAATAAGGTAATTTGGGACCTCTCCTGCGAGAGGCCCAGAGCGTGTGTAGTGCTGAAAAATGATATTAACTATTTCTGCATTACAGAGTTTCTAACACAGGACCTGGTAGCAGTCCAGACTACCTTGAAGGTTGATGGCAGGGAGTTGGAGGTGGTCTTGGCTGCAGCCTACTTTCCGGGGGACAACGCCAACGTGCCGCCCCTTGAGGTACAGCAGCTTCTGGAATCCTGCCGCAGGAAAAGACTTCCTGTCATTCTAGGCTGCGATGCAAACGCCCACAATATGGAGTGGGGCAGCTCGGACACTAACCGTAGGGGTGAGTGCCTTTTAGAATATATCATAAGTGCAGACCTGAGCATTCACAATGTCGGCAATGAACCAACGTTCATTACTAGGGTCAGAGAGGAAGTTCTTGACATCACGATCAGCAACAGACTGGCCAGTCCTCTGATCGGCCAGTGGAAAGTCTCATCTGAGCCTTCACTGTCAGACCACAGGATTGTCCGGTTACCATAAGAGAAACCCCAGGAAAACTGACTGGGCCAAATATGAAGAGGTACTCAGACTGAACCTACCAAGAATAGAGGTACAGAGAAGAAAGGTAGATTGTATGGCGCTAGAGGACAGGGTTAATAAGCCGAACGGCACAATCTAAGATGCCTTTACGTCCAGCTGTCCCGTGTCAAAGCCTAAAGGGAAGGCTCAGCCTCCCTGGTGGTCACGGGAACTCTCGGTTCTTAGGAAAGAGGTTCGCAGACTGTTTAACAGGGCAAAGCGCACCGGGAACTAGGAGGAATACTCAGTCAGTCTGACAAAGTACAATAAGGAGATCAGGAAGACCAAGCGTAGCAGCTTCAGGACCTTTTGTGAAAACATTGCATCCACTCCTGTAGCTGCTAGGCTTCATAAAGCTTTGGCAAGGGACAACACAGGCACGAGATTGGCAATAAGGCTACCTAATGGGACCTTTTCAGGTACGGAACAGGAAAGGGCAATCGCCCTGTTGTCGGCCCACTTTCCGGACGCCATTCTCACCACTAGGGAAGCTATGGTCCGTGCGTACAGGCCATCCCCACCGGACTGGAAGCTGGCTAAGAGCCTTATAAACTGGCAAACGGTGCGGTGGGCTTTGGACTCCTTCGAACGGTACAAGTCCCCTGGGGTGGATGGTATATGTCCAGTGTTGCTGAAGCAGGGTGGAGAGCTCTTACTCCCACATCTTGTAGATGTTATGATGGACAGTCTAGCGCTGGCCCAAATTCTCAAGGTGTGGCAAAGGACCAGGGTTATTTTTATCCCGAAGGTAGGTAAGAGAGATTACTCTCTTGCCAAGTCATTCAGGCCGATAAGTCACACATCATTTATGTTGAAGGCAATGGAGAAAATTATTGACCATAAGATCAGGTTTAACACTCTGAAACAGACACCTCTGCATTCCAACCAGCACGCGTACAGGGTGGGTAGATCCACGGACACTGCGCTGTATGCCTTAACGGAGGAAATACAAGGGGCCTTTGAGTGTGAGTCTGTGCCTTCCTCGATACCGAGGGCGTCTTTGATAATGCCTCCCATTCGGGAGTTGATAGAGCTCTTGAGAAATATAACGTCCAGCCAACCATCCGGCGTTGGATAGCAAGGTTACTGCAGACCAGGATAGCCGAAACTGAAGTCGGTGACAGCGTTGTTCAAATACAAACAACAAAAGGGTGCCCGCAAGGGGGAGTATTATCTCCTCTACTGTGGAGCTTAGTTGTGGACGAACTCCTACAGCTACTCACTAACGAGGGCGTTCGATGCCAAGGGTATGCGGACGACATAGTGATTATTGCTAGAGGGAAGTTCGCTAGTACTCTCTGTGACATCGTCCAAAGAGGTCTTAACCTTGCAAAAAGGTGGTGCGCAGATGTAGGCTTAAATATCAATCCCTCCAAGACAGCTATAGTCCCCTTCACCAAGCAAAGAAATCTTCAGGGGATGAGGAACCTGACCCTGGACGGGGTCGTAATCAATGTCGCCACAGAGGTTAAGTATCTGGGGCTTACCCTGGACACCAGGGCGACTATGGTGTGCAAACGTCTGGCGGGCAAATCCTGGGGGTGCACTCCGAGGATCCTCAGATGGTTGTACACTATGATAGTGAGACCTATAGTAACGTACGGTGAAGTGGCTTGGAATTCCAGGACTACTTTAGTAACGGTGAGGCAGACCCTCTCTAAGCTTCAACGTTTGGCATGTGTGTGCATTACGGGAGCAATGCGCACATGCCCGACGGCAGCGCTAGAGGTAATGCTGGAACTCGAGCCACTGCACCTCTTAGTTGAACAGGTTGCAAAACGAACCCTCCTCAACTTTGCTAGGGAGGGCTTCGGCAAAGGCAAGGTGGTATCATCTAGGAACAGGGACAAGCTAGGTACCCAGCTCCCCCTGGCTCTTTTCCCAGAGACGATATCAACAGACAGGTTATCTTCAAAAGGAATTTCAGCACTTACACTTACAGCAAGGTGACCTGGTGTGCCTCTATTATGGAAAGGCACATACAGGCGAGCACAATACAGTGGTACACTGACGGCTCCAAAACACCTGCGGGGATTGGAGCAGGCGTGTACGGCCCCAGGATGAAGCTTTCGGTGCCCCTGGGAACCTTTCCAAGCATCTTTCAAGCGGAGGTCTATGCCATCAGTTTGTGCGCTGAGATCAACATGAGTAGGAATTATAGGAATGAAAGGATACTTATACTAAGTGATAGTCAGGCGGCACTTATGGCTCTTTCATCATTCGAGATCAAGTCCTCCTTGGTTTTGGAATGTGTCGAGAGGCTTAATGCTCTGGCGGAGGTCAATGATATCCAACTAATGTGGGTACCAGGGCACACGGGGGTGGCAGAAAATGAGGAGGCTGATCACCTGGCCAGATTAGCTGCTTCCTCGGCCCCGATAGGACCTGAGCCCTTTCTGGCAGTGGGACCAAGTACTATAAAGGATATGCTCAGAAGGGACATTAAAAAACTGAGGGAACTGCATTGGCGTGACACCATGGGTCAGCGTCAGGCGAAAAGCTTATTAGGAGGTTACAATCTGACAACATACAGGCTACTGATGAATTTTCCAAAGGACAAACTGAGGGTAATTACAGGATTTTTGACCGGCCACTGTAGGCTAAGAGGGCACATGTATAAAATAGGTATCTGGTCCAGCGACCTGTGCCGCTTCTGCGATGCCGCCAAGGAAACTCCACTACACCTTCTTGTAGAGTGTGAGGCCGTGGCGCGCAGGAGGCTTAGAAGCATAGGGTACGTCTGGCCAAGAGAGGAGCACATACACTCACTGTCCCCGGGGTCCATTATGAAGTTTTTAGACACTCTGGGGCTTGCTGAGGAGTTGTGATGAGCTAGGGGCACAATAGACCCAGCGGTCGCAGTGCATTACCCAACCAACTATCTATCTATCTATCTAATGTTTATCATTATTTTTTACGAAAGTTTAGCTCGTTTTCTGGCAAAGTTGAAATTTCAAACTTTGTACAAAAATTGGGAAGAATCGATAAATTTAGAGAAAATTGCATCAACGTTTCAAATTTTTTTGTATGCATTGTTATTAAATTTTTGTATGATAAAATGCAAGCTTCAACCGATTTTTTGCAATTATTTTTAATAAAGAAAAGAAAAATAGCCAAATCTTGATCAAATAACGCGTTCGTATTAATATTTTCCCAACTGTTACAGCCAATTTCACGAAATCAATTTAAGTGAAAAATTATTTTAATTTTTTGAATTTTATATGGAAATGACAGAAAATAAAAAAATCATTTTCCATTTAAATTGCTGATGAAACCGGCTGTAAGTCAAATTTATGTCAAAATTTTGTCGAATCTTGTGATTTAAACAAAAAAATAATAATAATTTTTTCAAACCCTGGTAGCGAACCCTAAAAAAATATTTTAAAACGATCAAAATAAAGATGTTGATATTTTAAGGGCTAACCTTAATATGTACATTATAGGGTGGTCCAAAAATGCATGTGAAATAACCAAGTCGCAATTTTTAAAATAAATATTTTTAAGTCTTAAAAGACTTTTATTTTGAGTCTTGTATTTTAAAAGTCGTTTCATAATAATGATGAGTGTGAAAAAAATTTTTTAAGTTTTAAAGGACGGGGCTTGTTCAGGGCCATTTCGGGAGTAATTGAAGATCAGCTCGGGGCTAGTTGGGGACCAGTTCGGGACTATTTGGGGAGTAGTTTGACCAATTGGGGCTTAGTTTGTGTCCAGTTCGGGACTATATACATATATAATATAATTCCAATCTAGTCCCCAACTGGTCCCAAACTACTGTTCCCGAACTGTTTCTGATCTGATCCTCAACTAGACCCGAACTAATTCCGAAATGGTCCCGAACTAATCCCGAAATTTTCCTGAACGAGCCCCTTCCTTTAAAACTTAACCAATTTTTTCACACTCATAATTATTATGAAAAAACTTTTATACTAAAAGTCTCAAAATAAAAGTCTTTGAAGACTTAAAAATATTTATCTCAATGATAATTATTATGGCAAGGCTTTTATAATATAAGTCTCAAAATAAAAGTCTTTGAAGACTTAAAAGTATCTATCTCGCTGATAATTATTATGAAAAGACTTTTATTATATAGTAAGTCTTAAAATAGTAGTTATCGATGACTTAAAAAAATTTTCTTACACATAATTATTATCAAAAAACGTTTATAATTCTTCCGAATATTTGGATGCCTTTTTTTTAAACTCCACCATGAAATAATTATTATTCTGAGTCTCTGTTTTTTTACCACCCTAATGTACATGCATTTGTCTGCTTTGTGGGTTAAACTGTAGCAAAAATTGTAAATAGACAATTTCAAGTATTTTAACAGATTATTAAAATATCGCTCTGTCAAATATTTAAGCCGACTGCCAATTAAATATCAAACCGTAGTAATATCGAGTGGCATTTACGAGTACTAAAACATTTTGCATTTGAATTTACGTATTTTGAATGCAATGATTTAACGTGCCTTAACACAAATTTAAATAAATTTTAATAGTTGCATGAAAAAATCGTATGAATATTCGCAACAGGTTTTGCTTTGCTGTTGAATATTTTAGATTTTGCTGACAGTTGCATACTGTTGTTTGCTCAGTTTTTTTTTTAATTCTCGATTATTTTTCGTACTGACTTGGCTGAAATACTTGTATTTTTTCGAAAGCTTATTTGACAAGGAAAACTTTTGCGGGATTATGGCTTTATTTGTATGCACTTGTACATACTTTGTACTCATACATATGTATGTACATATGTGCAGCATGTATGCCAATTTAACTCATATTCATAATTATAAAAAAATCAATTTACTTTGCATGCATAATTGACTTTTAATTGCGCTTAATTTGCTGTTTGGATGGTTTTCAAGCGCACATTTTTGTTGATCGATATGTATGTATGTAAGTATGTATGTGTGTATGTACTTACATACAATTCACTCGATAGGAGAGAAGTGCGCAAGCAAATTCGAAAACTAGCCAGCACAACTTCG